ACACACACACACACACACACACACACACACACAACCCCAAGTAGAAGTTATTCCCTTGCCTGGTATGACCTGCAGTAATTGCAGGATTTAGCCTTTTGCCTTTAGGGCTCATTAAAGAGGCGCTGAAGCAGTTTAGCTCCAAAAACACTGGATCCTCAACTTACACAAACTGCAACTGAAACAAAATGCACAATAATCCTGATTCACGTCTTTCAAACTCCACAAACATCCAGCTCTCTGTGGAAAAATCTGATATCATCAGGGTTGTTTTATCAGCTTCATCTACCAAATAAAACAAGTGAAAGGCCCCTTTAATAAATCTGAGAGTTACATCAAGTCAGTTTTATCTATAAAGTCCAACATCTCTAATCACAAATCTGCCTCAAAGCGCTTTACAGTCTTTAAGTTCTTTATAAAAACCCCCTCGATCCACCGACCCTCGATCTGGATAAAGAAAGATATGACAGATTATAAACATTGACTGTTTGTAGAGTAAAGTCAAGAATCTCACAATCCTGCTACGATCACGTGACTGTAATTCTCTTCCCCAGATGTGTGTGTGTGTGTGTGTTGTGTTTTCTGTGTAGCGAGTGTCGTTGTGTACCTGTGGAGGCGGCTGGTCGATGGCGGACACCACCTCAGCCGGGCTGCTCTCTGGACACTCGAACTCCACTGGGACCTTCTCCTGTAACAGACGACACACGTGTGGAGCCGTGGTGTTGAATTATTAAAGTGAGCAGTTCCTTCCTTTCATGGTTTGAAGCTCCAACGGCGACATAAGAAATATTCAAAGTTTAAATCAGCTGGTTTCATGCGTCGTTACCTGTGTGTATCTCTCCAGTGGGTGTCTGAAGGTGTGTGTGTGGTAGTGCTCCAGCAGCCTCTCCTGCAGGTAGTTGTGGCAGAGCTCGGACCAGCCGGCCGCTCGCTCCTCTGCCGAGTGTCTCGGGTTCCTGAGGCCCGGCGTGTCCACCACCATCACCGAGGCTAACGTCAGCTGTTGACCGCNGTTTATTGGATGTTACCCTGAAAACACTCCCATATGATTAATTAACAGACTAAGTCCGACCTTTTGAAGCATGTGCCTGGAGCAGCGTCTGCCCCCCCCCTGTTAAAATAGCAAAAGTGACATGGACACACCCTAAATGTACTTAGCGCGCCACGCGCTTCAGGCCGTGAGCTTTGGGCCGCCCTAAAAGTGGAGGGTCGGGACAAAAATAGGGTTTTGAAAAGTGAAGAGGACATCACCCCCCCCCCGCCCCCCCACCC